GTCCCTCCAGGCTCGTTGCGAGGTACACTGCTTTCTGCTCTTCTGTCCATCGATTCATTTCTGCCAGTAGCTCAAATTGTGCTCTATATGCTTCCCATGGTGCCTTCCCATCGAATTCCCGTGGCTTCCTTCGTACTAGATCACCCCTATTACTGACACTCATGTCTGGAATGTGACGTCTTACAGGACTGAAGATTTTTGCATTAGGGTTTAGCTGCGGGGTCTGGAAGGGGCTTCCCGTTGTCTGAGGCTTATTAGGTCGATGGCTAATATATCCTCCTTGTGTAAAAGACAGTAAATCATCCTTTAATGTATTTAATTCACTTTGAAATTTACCCATCTTTTCCATTTGTGTATGCTGGCTTTCTCTCCACTGTTGGAGACTTTCTTCTTGTTTATTTTCTTTCTCCTCCAACCATTGCTGTAGTCTCTCTTCTTATTTCTTTTCTTTTTCCTCCAACAACTGCTGTAGTCTCTCTTCTTGTTTCTTTTCTTTTCCTCCAACAACTGATGTAATCTTTCTTCTTTCTTCTTGTTTCTTTTATTTTTCCTCCAACAACTGCTGTAATCTCTCTTCTTGTTTCTTTCCTTTTTCCTCCAACAACTGCTGTAATCTCTCTTCTTGTTTCTTTTGTTGTTGTTGTATTGCTGCCATCAAATCTGCTAAGCTGTAGTTTGATTTGTCACTTCTCGTTTCCATCTTCTTTTTCTTTTTCAGTCCCACACTCTGACACCACTTTATTACGTCTCTGGTCGTTTGTTAATTTCCCGTAAAAATTCTTTCTGAAGAACTTCAGCGATACAAGTACTTTCTTAAATAAAACTAGTTTATTTTTTCTCAACAGAACTTTTCAATACACTTAATTTCCACAGTCACTTTAACTTAAACACACACTATAATTCACAACGATTCACACACTTTACTTACGGTCACTACCGCTCATTTGACTCGATTATCTGTCTTTATATCTCCCTATCTGCAATTATATCTCCGTTTTATTTGCCGGGCTTATATACAAAAATAGAGGGTGTCTGGCAAACACTAGAGTTGCCAGGAACAGTCACGATCCTTCTAGAAACTCATGACGTGTTACCAGCGTTACGTGACTTCCGCTGTCGTAACAATATTAACTCTATAATATTACATCCCTTAGGGGTTTTTAAGGATTAGAAGAATGTAAAATAATAGTATTCCAACCACTTTATATCTGCAATATCTATTGCTGACGACGTGTTTCGCTCAGTGTAGAGCTCTTCTAAATTTTGAAAGCCTTTAAGAAACAAGATTAATAATGTCATGTTAAAAAAGGTAACAGGCCTAGTACTAATATCTTATGATAATTATAATTATCATTGTATTGTTCCTTGTTTATTTTACTCACTAGAGTTCACCCTTTTTTTTTAAGTACTGACTTTAACGTTAATCAATAGTTTATTTAGCTTACTTGCTTTAACAATGCTACTTCTGTTTTCAAATATAGAGAGTTATTATATTTATTTTAATATTTGTTGTCTAGTAATATTGTCATATTATTGTTTATACTATAATTACTTTTCGGGACTGATTATTATCACACATTTCTCATTTCTTTACAATGGTTTTAACAGCTTCTTTGTGTTTCAGATTTTATCATACTATTTCTGCATTTTTAGTTATTTGTATTACATTTTAGTTTAAATGGACTTTTTGATAGCCAGTTATTTAGTTTGCAAATGCTAGTTAGTCTGCTTCAGTTGATAACAGCATTTTAACCTGTTTCTGGTAGTTAACAAAACAAAAAGTATACACAAGTTTTTTTATATCTCTTGAGAAAAATACTGAACAATAAAGTGAAAGAAAATAAAACAATAACAATAAAAACAATAACTATAATATGTAATACCAAAACTGACAAAGCATGATTTATTGTTGAGGAAAATACACTACAGAATGTTATCACAAGAATAGGAAAAGTATTCGAAATGTTATTGAAACTAATGATATGGGCCATAGGAGATCGGGTCCCCTAAAAATTACTTGGAGCTAGTTTGAAAATTTTATTATTAGTTTTTGCATTGCCTGTATTACTGATGCAGTTTCAATTTCAAACATAATTTCAGATCTGGCCGAATTTCTACAAAAATACATAACTAATTTTCATGCATAGCGTGGTTACACCTGAACTTTACCTCAAAATAAAATGATTGATGTGTCTGCGGACTTACAACTCTAGAAATCGGGTTTTGATATCCGTGGTGGGCAGAGCACAGATAGCTCATTGTGTAGCGTTGTGATTAAACTAGAAACAAGCAAACAAGAAGCTGAGGTTATTCGTGAATCTGTTGTAAGTGGTATTAGAAAAGGCAAAATT